TTTTTGTTGTTGTTTTTGGTTCAACAGGGCGGCGCTCGGGTTTTTGTTTGTTTTGTTTCAGCTGGGTGGCGCTTGGGGGTATTTTTTTTTTTTGGTTTGGCAGGGCGGTGCTCGGGTTTTTTTGTTGTTGTTTTTGGTTCAACAGGGCGGCGCTCGGGTTTTTGTTTGTTTTGTTTCAGCTGGGTGGCGCTTGGGGGGTATTTTTTTTTTTTGGTTTGGCAGGGCGGTGCTCGGGTTTTTTTGTTGTTGTTTTTGGTTCAACAGGGCGGCGCTCGGGGGGTTGTCTTTGGTTTGGCACGGCGGCGCTCACATGGGGTTGTTTTTGGTTCGGCGGGGTGGCGCTGGGTTTTGATTGTTTGCTTTTGGTTCGGAGGGGCGGCGCAGGGGGGGGTTGGTTTTGGTTCGGCAGGGCAGCGCTGGGTTTTTTTGTTTGTTTGTTTTTGGTTTGGCGGGGTGGCGCTGGGGGGGGGATTGTTATGGCGGGGCAGTTTTGTTTTTTTTGCTTGGGGCGGCAAAAAAGTTAGAGCCGGCCCTGGTTCAAATGTCTTCTTAAAAGGTGTATGAAATGTGGATACAACATTTTTGGACAGAATAACAAATACATTTGTCTGGTATTTCAGAATCACTGAATTTACCCCCAACAAGATTAGGAAAAAACCACTGTCTTCACAAATCCTACTCCAGTCACACCCTAGGAAGCTAGTCTGTGCATTAATGGTCTCTTCATAAGCAAGTATAAAGAATAGCAATGGAGCTTTCCACGACCACTCTTCCACTCTTGGCCAGAGTGTCTGCCATTCCCATAGGCAGGGAAAAGGGGAATGACCAGTGAATTTATGTACAAAATTCATATTCCAGAGTATCCATTGGTCCAATTCCAAATCTAACAGTGCAGAAGTATAAAGGGTGGTCCTGCAATACACAAATTATTCTCCCCATGCGCAGGCTCCCCGAATCCTGCCACCCTTCCTTTCCCCCCCAAAAACAGGATTGTACAGGTTCTATTGCTTGAAGGGAATCTAACACCCACAGAGGCAAGGGGAATATTTGCCCCCATGATGAATACTTTTACTATATATTAAGTTTCCCTACAAAGTGCAGGAGAAAAACATTTCAGAATTTTCTCTTCAATTGTGATGTGCAGTTCCTGACCAATGCTCCATTAATAAGTCTCTGATTTTGTATCTCCATACATTAAAACACTATTCTTGCTAAATGTGGACAGGTAACACCCAAATTATGCTGTATATATGGCATGCTAAACTACATTCTCCCTTCTCTGTTGCCCCATATCCTTCTAGCATTTTTATAAAAATGATTCAAAAATGTTCTAACATACACAAGACATAGATACTGTGCAACTATAATGAGAAATAAAACATTCTTCCACAAAAATATTCCCATTTGTTATATCCTTAATGTATTAATGGGCCAAATATTTATGCAGACTTAAAAATGCCATAAAACTGGGTATAATGTATTATTTTCTGTAATAAATGTAGATATGAGGAAATACCAAGTTTGCTTTTATCGTCTACTTTTAATTAAAAATATATTAAATGAAAATGTATTTAATATGTATATTGTACCATTTTATAACTGCATTGTGAAGGCCCAGAGAAGAGTTAGATATCCAAAATACATGCCTATTCTACAGTATTTGCAGCAGCAAATATAGCAACAGACTCTACTAAAGCCCCTACAGACAAGTTACACAGACTTAAGCTGATTGCTGCAGATTGGATTTGGCTCCCACCCAAGCTTGCAAGATGACAAAGAATTAACCTTTAAATCCATCTTCTTACCTAAAGAAGACTTCACACACACAAGGCTACCTTTACTTGTTATTCAAGGACACCTTAAATGTGTCTCCGTACTGTCATCCATTCTGTATGTATGAACTGTTAACATTGTAATTATGTTAAGTAATACTAAATGTAAATAGAGATATGTTGATATACACATAAATCAAGCACATGTAGTAACATGTTAATGGATATATTACAACCATGTCTGCAATTATGTTGTCTACACAGTACTTTGTTATATGGCATCTATTGCGTGAATGACTCATCCAATTAAGGTTTCAGCTTTCAAAAAAACAGACAGTATTTTATAAACCATTAATTTTACCGAGACTGTTTAAAATGTAAATTTCATTCAATACTACGGTAACACAAATGTCTTACGTAGCTGAAGTAGTCTTCCATTGGAAAAGGAACGGCCACTGTAATTAATCTTGTGCAGACTGTTTCTTTGGAAACATACAATAAAATGAATTTAAAGTTATTCTGCAATTTGAATAGGAAAAAAAGATTAAGTCTCAAGTGTTATTATATGTTCTTGTTTTGTATGCTCAGGATTACACTTTAAAGTAGGATTACCATTCATTCACTGCTAAGGGGATCAGAAACCACAGATAATGCATAAGCCATATGTACGTTTCCCAGAGGCAAACCAAGTACCTTATTTATTTAAACAAATGTGAGAAACTAACATCCCAAACTACTAGTGGAGTGACCATGGGATTGTCAATCAAACAACATTTAAAATAAAAGACTTAAAATGAGGTGGGTAACAGTGAACTAACGCTTATAAAAAAATTAAAGAAAACATCATCATTAATTTTAGGAAGAAAAGATTTACTTAGGCCAAGCAAAATGTAAGTTTTCTAGAATCAGAAACTTTGGTATCAATATTTCAAAAAGATTTACACACACAGATGTTTGAGTCTTAAACACCGGGTGACTGATGAATTTAAATCCACAAACACTTGCTGCATAGTTTAATAGATTTAAAAGAGAACTATATATATTTTATTAAAGAGTTTAGTGGTAAATACAGAACAGGGAGTCAACTAGAATATGCCTTTAAAACAATTAACTAAAAAGCGCAGCGTGGAAGCAAGTACTTCATGTATCTGATCGCTGTGAAAACACTGCACTCTATCAGTAAACTCCATTCTGATATGTCTCCTTCTCACCCTTTTGAGATTAATTTTTTAGATTTGTACTTTACAATGCACTCAGCTGAAAATAAATTATAACCAGGTATGTTATATGTCATTCTTCATTAATGTTCAGAGTATCTATCATCTTCCACGAGAAACTGCTTATGCCCCAATCCTGCAACTGACAAACATGGGCATGTCCCAGTGAAATCAGTGATGCTCTATGTAAGCAGGGGTATGTGTCCAGGGGCAGTCAATTGTAGGAGCTGTGCCTTTAATGGAATTTTTATAGAAAAAACAATATATAAATTCCTAAATCTGATTTGGTATTCAGATATGAATCGTGACAATTCAAGAAGAAATTAATCTAGGTTTCCACATGGAGTTTCAGAGAAACAAGTCTTGAAAATATTCATCAAACTCTTCCTCCCTGTAAGAAAAATCAAATAATAATATTAAAATATGTGAGTAGCAGATGTAGGGCTTTTTATCTGTTGCCACACAGTCTTTATTCCTTTTGCTACAAAAGTTTGGTGAGATTTCTGGTTATAAGAAGAACAAATTTAAAGCCATACACACGAGGTACGCTACATTTCTATTTTCTTCCATTTCCTCCTCTTTCTGACTGACTGAAGCAGTGTTTTGATATTTAGGAAATACTCCTAATAATTAAATTATTTTGGCATGACATTACTCTTATAATAAATATTAGGGAGTGTACAGCATATAAATGATCAAAGATTATTTTCTCTCGAGTGAGTAGAACTAATAGCTATGTTATGCTTGCCCTCAATCATAATCCAACATTTACAGATAACTATCTCTAAAAAAATAAGGGAATAGGACACAGTTTATCTGTCTGGGGTTTCAGGAGATCTGCTACGTTTCTTTTTATACCTATTGTCTATAATCTCACCTCTCCTGCCTTAGCACTAAATGGCTTTGGGAATCAAGGAGGATTAGATTTGTTTTTCATCTTTTCCAATGAAATAAGTATCCTGGAGTTTGTGGCTCTGCAAGCCCAACAGCAGGTTTTTAGGGCATTTTTCTATTAATATCTCTAGCTGAGTAAGTAGGCAAATAGGGTTTTTTTACAAGTAACATCGCCTCAAACAGACACCATCACTCTCTGGCTGTTACTAAAGCCCATGAAGCTGTAGTAGTGGGAAGGAGGTGTCTTTGCACATGTATCTGTAGAGCCCTGCGCGGATCCAAAACCTATATCTGTGGGTGCAGATATGTGTGGATATAAATCGGGTATCCGCAGAGCTGCAGGGCTCTACCGAGAACTGCAGCAGCAAAAGCAGCAGCATGTTGGGCTGCCGCTCACAGGAGCCAGAGCCCCGCACTGGCAGGTCCTCCGGCGTGGCTGTAACACCCCCAGCACCGCTCACTGGCGCAGGCACCAGCCTCACTGGCAGCTGTCCCTGGTTGCATTAGTGCGTGCAAGCAGCTTGTACACTCCCAGAAAGGAATCCCTTCCATGCAGTGGTCTGCGGCTCCTGTCCAGGAGTGTGCGAGCTGCTTGCACACACTAGCGTGACCCGGGACAGCTGCCAGTGAACCTGGTGCCACCCAATGGGCATGGCTGGAAGCAGTACAGCCACGCTAGAGGAGCTTCCCGCATGGAGTGTTGGCTCCTGCAAGAGGCAGCCCGACATGCTGCTGCTTTTGCCACTGCACTTCCTGATCAAGCCCTGCAGCTCCACGGATACCCGATTTATATCCACGATAGAGATTTTGTATCTGAGCAGGGCTCTGTATCTGCATAGTGGCAGATGGCCTCACTACAATACTTCCAAGCTGATATGGAGAAAGGTGCTGCTGAGCACTGCTCCATGGTATGTAGTAGGTGTAGTGTCTCCTTGCATGGCTTCTCAATGACTGCCTCACCACACAGGAGAACTATGACAGTTCTGCTACTTTTTGTGTCTTTATCCCCACGGAGTGGGGGTAGGATATGAGTGACCCCCTTGTGAGCTGACCTGCATGGAGGTAGTTATTTCCTCTAATGTATTTCAAGAATAGACTGACTTCAAGTAAAGTTTGGCCAAAAATTTGAGAAAAATTCAAATACAGTTTGAATCGTTTGTTTGAAATGAAATCAGGTCCTTAGTTCTTCCTGAATGAGCGAAGAATAGCAGAGCATCTGAGGAATAAGACCAGCACTGGATCCTAAATAAATTCCTATTTTGGGAAAGGTTGGATACATACACGCACAGCAAATTTATGCTACAAAGCAATTCTCTTCCCACTCTTCAAAATATAAGTTGTGTCACTGGTGCTTTTTGTTTAAGTAGCGTACAATGTAGGTGTTATTTTTAAAGGATCTAAAGCAAAAATCCCCAATTTTATTTTGTTACTGGTTTTAAAGCAAGTAAATGGGAGGTATTCTCTTAACAGAAATCAAATTACTTCCCATTGTGCAAATATTCCAACATATTTACTGGTGAAAAAAATGCAAAGGAGCAAATTATGGCCATAAGGATCCTCCCAAGGGGTGTGCATGTCCATTATATCATGGAGCCCAGGCCTGTGGCAGGTCCTTCCACAGTGCTGCAAAGGCCCAGGGTAACAGCTGGGGCAGAGGAAGAGCCAGTGAATCAATGACTAAGTGGAGTCACCTTCCTTTCCATAGAGGTGTAGGAGCAGAGGGGATGGCAAGCAAAACAGAGGCTACTGTAGTTCTGAGGCTGCAGTAGCAGGACTGGAGCAGCTCCCTGGCTTGAGGGGAGGATTTCTCCAAGTTTCACACACTTCCTCTCCTTCTAAGGATATATACTTGGGTGTGGTGAAGGGAAGAAGATTTGGGATTGATTTTCAGTGTTGGAATAATCATAATAAATCCTGAAAAGATGCATACAGCCACATGATTTTTGAATAGGCATAACAATTGCAAGATATACAAGCTACTGGTATCAGAACTAACCGTGATTTTTCATCTGTCTCCTGTAGAGGACCCTTCCAAAAGTCAGCATCTGAAGGAACATCTTGCTCTTCACTGTCATCTGGATCTGTTAAATATTATTAAAACATCTTAAGAAAATTAATTTTCAATTTTTTTCCCCAAATTTTACATGGCACTATTGGCAAGTCTAAGCCTCTGAGTCAAAGTACAACTTTAAACGTGAGGGGAAAAAATATTGGGGGGGAGGGGCGAGGATTTTTTTTTGCAAATTGCTTTTCATATAAATGTGCAGCTGTCTCCCTAATACATATCTCATGGTACGTGCAACCTTAAAAAGGAAAATCAATAAAAGAAATTTATTGTTTTCTACCTTAAAATGAAATATTTATTACTAAAAAAGAGACATGAAAAACATGAGAGAATAATGTTCAATCCAGCTTTTAGGGTCCAGTTTTCAAGATGGATTGTCCCATATTGGTAGACTGCACACGTTTTTCATTATTAGCTGATATTCTTTAATTTTTAAGGTTGTCCTCCACATTTTTTCTACAATTAATTAAAATAGGTTATTATATAGAGGACTTTCAAGACTGCGCAGAAATGAAACTTTATCAACTCATCTTTTGCCCAAAACATAACAGTTATGGCAAATGCATCTGACAATCATTTCTGCTTGCCAACTAAAATTGTTACATTACAGCATTTGTTTTTAAAAGCCCTATTGATTTGGTATGGTGCTTCTACTGCCTTAATCTGTTGGACTCTGCTCCAGAACACTGATCCTTGTATCAACAGCAGTGTTAGCACTTTGCTCTTAAAATTAAACAAAGAAATGCTGCACGTGGTCCATGTTGGCACACAGATCCTCACAGAGTAGGGGAACAGAATTATAACAGAACTATCAGTCTCTTCCAGATACTCTGCAACAAGAAAGTAGGCGGCCCAGAGGCAGGAGCCCCCATAATGAAACGGGCATTGGGGAGTGGAATTAGTGAGGAGCAGGGAATGCCATTGCCAAAGCAGCCACTAGGACTGCTAGGATCAGCCACTGATCTCTCCTTACTGTAGCAGGTGGCTCTATGAAGTACTGTGGGTGGGAACTGGAATGGACTTTGGTTTAGAGCATACTGGGCAAGGTACCTCCCTCATACTGCTCTCTAATAATTTATTCTGAGGTTACAGATAACTTACTATTATATAGTGTATCTATATATATATATACATACCTCACATACCTCTCATGCCCCTACAGTGATTAGCAGAGTAATATTTGTTTTCACCCTTATAGTCTTTCTTTTGCACAAATTTGACTCAATTCTTTAACTATTTTTCCTAGTATTACTATTCTTCTATTATCTTCTCCTTCCTAGATTCCATAATTTTTCTTCCTTCCATAAACTTGAAAAGGATTCCTGCCAAGTATCCTTCACCTATCCTTCCTATGCATTTAAATCAGTGGCTCTCAATCTTTCCAGACTACTGTACCCCTTTCAGGAATCTGATCTGTTTTGCGTACGTCCAAGTTTCACCTCACTTAAAAACTACTTGCTTACAAAATCAGCCAAAAATACAAAAGTGTCACAACACGCTATTACTGAAAAATTCCTTACTTTCTTATTTTAACCATATAATGATCAAATAAATCAATAGGAACATAAATATTGTACTTACATTTCAGTGTATAGTATATAGAGTAGCATAAACAAGTCATTATCCTTATGAAATTTTAGTTTGTACAGACTTCGCTAGTACTTTTTCTATAGCCTGTTGTAAAACTAGACAAATATCTAGATTCGTTGATGTATTCCCCAGAAGACCTTTGTGTACCCCCATCGGTACACGTACCCTTGGTTGAGAATCACTGATTTAAATCAATCTTTTTTTTGTTTGATATATCCTATGTTTGCTTCTCTTCCTACAGTATTTCATAAACAATATTTCAAATCTTTGTATCAGAAGACCAAAACTGCTGATGAATAGAACTGAAACCAAGGATAAATCAATTGGAAATAGCATACAAGCTATTCAAAAATTTGTAATACAGTTCAAAAATTTAGGAAGTCCTTTGAATAATTTACCGTTATCAAAATCATCTGAATCATCTGAGGAAACTTGATCTGAAAAGAAACAGCCATTTAAAAACATTTAGTTTACTTTGGTTTTATGCACTATTTTAACATGTTTTACAAGCGTACACTTACCACCTAATAAATCTCACACACACACACACACACACACACACACACACACACACACACACACACACACACAACAA